GAGGATAAGGACGAAGCTCGGAAGATAAAGATGAGATCGGCTAAGTTCGTCATCATCGGAGATGAGTTATTCAAACGTGGCGTTTCCTCTCCACTGCTCAAATGCTTGACTGCGTCTCAGGCAGCCTATGTCATCAGGGGAATTCACCAGGGGATATGCGGCATGCATTCCGGGGCGCGCTCAATGGAGACCAGGGTACTCTGAGCTGGGTACTACTGGCCCACTCTGAAGTTGGACTGCCAAAGCTACATTCAAAAATGTAAAGAGTGTCAACAGTTCGGCAACACACACTGGCAACCACCCGAAGCTCTCCACCACATGATGTCGGTGTGGCCCTTCTCCCAGTGGGGAATGGACATTCTCGGACCATTCCCCCCTGCGAAAGGTCAACTGAAATTCCTCCTGGTGGCAATCGATTATTTCACCAAGTGGATTGAAGCATGCCCACTCGCCAAAATTACCACTGAGAACGTGCAAAAATTCACATGGAAGAATATCATTTGCAAGTTCGGAATCCCTCACACCCTCGTTACTGATAACGACCGAAAGTTCATCATACAGGGATTCGAGGACTTCCTCCGAGAGCTCGGTATCAAGCATCTCCTGACCTCGGTGGAACACCCCCAAACCAATGGTTAGGCCGAAGCAGCCAACAAAGTCATCCTCCGGGAACTCAAGAAACGACTGGGAAACGCCAAGGGACAGTGGCCCGACGAACTTCCCAGCATCCTCTGGGCGTATCATTGCACCCCCCAATCAACCACGCAAGAAACACCCTACAGGCTAACTTATGGAGTCAATGCAATGATCCCAGTAGAAGTCAGAGAGACGTCCCACCGACGACAGGTTTTCGATAGCAAGCAGAACGCTCAAGAGTTGGCAGCTGACCTCGACTTGGTGGACGAGCTTAGAGACAAAGCTCAAATCCTCGAAGAAGCATGCAAGCTCCGAGCTTCCCGAAGATACAACACCCGGGTACGACCTTGTTCTTTCTGAATTGGTGACTTGGTGTGGCGATTGCTAGGCGAAGCCCGAAAGGACACGTCAGATGGGAAGCTTGCACCTACTTGGGGTGGCCCATTCCGAGTTACAGAAGACTTGGAAAATGGAGCGTATAGGCTAGAAGAACTCAACGGGAAGCCCATACCGCGGACTTGGAATGCTACGCATCTTAAGTTCTACTTCAGCTGAATTTTGTATGAATGAGTTGTGCACTCTTTTCCCACCTCAGTCTTTTGTCCCAAAAAATAGAAAAATGGGTTTTGGATGAGAGGATTTTTAACGAGGCACAATGACATTATCAATAAAACAACTCATTCTATTCAACTCATGTTATTTTCGCATTATTTTATGATTTGCGCTGAATCTGAGGTCAAGTTCGAACCTCGGTATGATTAAGGTCAAATTCGAACCTTCACAAAAATTATTTAACGGAAATTTGAGGTCGAGTTCGAACCTGGATACAACTCACTTTACACAAACTCGAGGTCGAGAACGAACCTTAGATACGCTCATCCGAGGTCGAGTTCGAACCTTGGCATGATCCATTTTACTCTGATTTAGGGTCGAATACGAACCTTAATACGCTTTACACAAATTCGAGGTCGAGTACGAACCCTAATACGCTAATCTGAGGTCGAGTTCGAACCTCGGCATGATTAAGGTCGAGTTCGAACCTTCGCAATGTGTTACTTAACAAAAATACCTTTATTAATAATTTTGATATTTTTATTTTTATTAATAAGATATGTTTACTATTTATTTAATTATTTAATTATTTAATGTGTTTTAAAATATAATATAAGGTATTTCATTTAAATATTTTTTAATTAAATTAAAAGCAAAGAAAATTAGTAACTAAAATTAGGTGTTTTAACTATAGGAAGGTTAAATTTTTAAAAGGGAAGTTTTGATAAGTTTTACGCATTTTATATTTTACTTATGCGCTATTCTTTTTATGCTTAGAGGTTGAAATCAGGAGTAAGAAGGAAATCACTCTAGAGTCAACCATCCATCTTTTTTTGTTCAACGAGATAAGGGAAAGTCAGAGACTTCGCTTTAGGTGTGAGATTGTATGTCGAATAGTAGGATCGACCCCCAATCATATGTATGTTATATGTCTATATATGAGGGGTTTTCTCCAAATGCGTTTATTTTGTATCCTGTCCTTCTTACACATTTCTAATGACATGAATTAGTTGAATGTATGATCAATTGTATGTTTTGGGTTGTAATTGTATGATTTGAAGTTCTTGTGAGTTCCTACGAGAAATCCTAAGGAAACTTGTTGTGATAGTTTGTGAAGATGTTCATTGATATGTGTAAATTGAGTGATTTGAAATATTAATTGCATATTATAAAACAATTCTATCAATTGTATACATGTTTATACATGAAAATAGTGTTGGGATGCAAGCAAAGTCCCACATCATTCAAACAAGAGGATGAACATGGATTTATATATACACAATTGTCTCCATTGAAAGAGAGGCCTTTTGGGTGATGTCCAAAAGTAAAATCGTGAGGGGATGGGCCCAAAGCAGACAATATCTCACCAATGTGGAGACATGTGTATATGTGTGGTAACCCCCTCAATGCTCAACAAATAGATGTGGGTAACTTGCAGTCATTAAGGAGATATGATTTTCAAGGAGGAAGATCGCGTTCTCACTTAATGAAATATGTAAGGTCGCTTAGTGATAAGCCCCAAGGAGTTCAACTCACTCAGTTAGATGTTGCTCGCTCAATGAGAAGCCTTACGGGTTAAACTCGCTCAACTAGATGTTGGTCGCTCAACTAGATGTTGGTGACTTAGCTAGATGTTACTCATTCAACGAGAGACTTTAGGGAGCTCAACTTGCTTAGTGACTATTAGATGGTTGTTTTACCTTGTGTTGTTTTACCTTGTGATTTTGATACTACCTTTTTACTAATGACTAATTGATGTAGTTGAGAATGTACATGAGATATATGTGTCATAATTGTGACTCACTAATCACAACCATGACTTGCTAGTCATGCTAATGACTTGTTTAGTGTTTCTAAAAAAGGGTCGAGATCAGAAAACATCTCAGCCATGACTCACTAGTTACAACTATGATGCAATTTGACGTATGTGAACTTTGCTTATTTGAACCTCTTGTCTTATCACGTCATTGGATTTCATAGAAACTGACCATTTAGTATAATCATAAATTAAAAGCCTAAAACCACTCTATTAAGCCACTATATATCTCAAATCAAACACCAATTCACATACATAATTCAAATAACATCCTTCTTCACATAGTGTATAAATCAAGAATTTTTACAAGCACTCACAAATTCACAAATAAATAAATTAAAGTGAAATTTGTTACACACATAATAAAATTATCATCCACAAGACACATACAAATCATAGATCACCCATACCCTAGAGAGAACTCTCACTTCCACCTTACCACGCTAGATGAAAGACGGAAGCCTCCAAGGCGTGCTCTAATAACCTTTACGTTCTCCCTAGGAAGCTCGTGAGTTAGAGAGAAAAGAGAAAAGGTGAATTGAGAGAAGTGTAAAAACTCACTTATTTTTCCGAAGTCCAAACCCCCCTTTTAAATCTCATTCCCCCATTTTTAATAATTAAAATATTATTTTCTCTATCATAAAACACAGTCTCAACTTAATACATTTGTTAACAATGAGTGACGTGTCTTTTAATTTGTACATCCTAAAATTCTCCTTCTAAGATTCCTTTATCTTATAACTTAAAATAACCATTAGGTTTCTCTACACAATAACACACACAACAAATTAAAAATGAAAGCTCATTTATTATTCAAAACAACATTATGATTTTAGTTAAATTACCAAAATGGACCGGTACTTTGAGCAAACCCAATAAGCCTAATAAGTCTAAAACACAAATTAGACCAATTTTCATATAAGGCACAATTTTTTTTTGGCCTATTTAGCTTGACAAGTTATGCTACATTAATCCATTTCATTTATTTATTTACTTTTGCATAAATTAGATATTTTCTACAAGAGAAAACAAAATATATTGGTCAAATAGGGTTGATAACTTCGTAGGTAGCATTGCCGCAACCAAACCAACCCTTATATTTTTTACCTAGTAATAAAGAGTCCACTCGAGCTTGAAATTGGATACGTTTAACGTAAGGTAAATGATATACACAGCTCTATTTCTTTATAAATACACTCTTTTTTTTTTTTAAAAAAAATATTAAATTCCTAAATTACCTTCAATATTTTTTAACTTATAATTTTTCAGATTTACACTTCCTTTCTCACCGTTCTTCTTTCTTTTTTGTGCACCCCATTTCTTCTTCTTTACCTTTTTCTCCGCACCTCCTTACCTCCCCTTCTTCCCTTTTCAATTTATGCATTATCCTCTTCCCTTTTTGGTTTTGTTATAAGCTGTAGGAGGGTTTAGTGTCGAAGGAAAAGGTGTCAAATCATATGCATTTTTTCCTCCAAGTAATTCTTCTCACTATTTATTTCAGAAAGTGCTTTCCGAAATAATAAAGCTTTTGTTCCGGAAAGTACATTTAAGAATAGTAAATTTTTTATTCTGGAAAGTATTTTTCGGAAGTGTGCTTGTTACATAATTCCAGAAAATATTTTCCGGAATACTAAATTTAGTGTTCTGGAAAGAATTTTCCGGAATTATATAAGAAACACACTTTCGAAAAATACTTTCCAGAACAATAATTTTACTATTCCAAAAAATACTTTCCAGAATGTTAAAATTAATGTTTCAATCAACATAATTATATTTAGTTAGAAGAATATTTTAAGAATTTTATTTAAAAGAAAAAAAAAAGAGATTGAAAGTATATTTATAAAAAATAGAAGGTGTATATATCATCACCCTTAACATAAACAATTGGGTACTGGGCCGTAAACAATTGGGTATCGGGCCCATGGGCGTGGATATGACCCGCTAGGGTTAGGGTAGTGTATGATGGATCATGAATGCGTATTATTATCGTTTATAAAAAATCAAAACCCTCACTCGTAAACCCTAACATTTCTGTTGGGTTCAGCTATAAGTTCCTCTATAAGTTTGCATCCTCTATAAAAAATCAAAACCCTCACTCGTAAACCCTTTACTTTGTCGCCGTTTGCATCCTCTGCTATTGAAGATGGCTCCTCCCAGAGGTAATGTTTTATTCACTCTTGAGGCTTTTTGTTTTTTTACAATTTTTTTCATTGCCTTCTCCATCATACCCAGTAATGTTTTATGCACAAATGAAATACTCTCGTAAATTATCTAAGATTTGCTTGCGAATCCCAAATGTGTTTGATGCTTGCATTCCTAGAATAAAATAATGAGCCAATGTTGTGTTTTAATGGGACATCGAGTCACTGCAACCCAGAGGATGTGTAAGTGAAAGTACTGTCATTCAAATTCATGGTTTTTACCAGCAACAGAATGTGAACTTTATTTTGTAATTATTTGAACCAAAATTTGATAATTACTTTTCGATGCGGTGATATAATGTTCCATGTTGTTGTTGACGTTAGTGTTTGACTTTGTGCAGGTCGTGGTGGGTTCAGAGGTGGCAGGGGTGACAGAGGTAGAGGAAGGGGTGGTGGAGGAAGAGGAGGAGGAGACAGGGGTACACCATTCAAGGCTAGGGGTGGTGGTAGAGGTGGAGGCAGGGGTGGTGGACGTGGAGGAGGTAGGGGTGGTGGAATGAAAGGTGGGAGCAAAGTTGTTGTTCAACCCCACAGACATGATGGTATTTTTATTGCTAAGGGTAAAGAAGATGCCCTTGTTACCAAGAATCTTGTTCCTGGTGAAGCTGTTTATAATGAGAAAAGGATTACTGTTCAGGTTATTTTTTTTCTTCTCATTTTTAGCACTGAGATCTGTCTTTTTTTTAAGGCTTAAGAGTAAAGAATTATATTTATTGAAGCATGAATGAAATAATACAATACCTTTTATTTTGCAGAAGGAGGATGGTTCAAAGGATGAGTACAGAGTTTGGAACCCTTTCCGCTCTAAGTTGGCTGCTGCTATTCTTGGTGGAGTTGACAACATATGGATTGTAAGAAGTTTCACTTTCTTTATAACATGTGATCCAACTTGGCTTTGTGCTTCTAGTGCACTATCCTAACATAATTTTTTTTTCTTACTTTTGCCTTGTGCTTTGTAAAGAAACCTGGAGCCCGAGTCCTTTACCTAGGTGCTGCTTCTGGGACTACTGTTTCTCATGTGTCGGATGTTGTTGGCCCAGTAAGTATAATTCAGAATTGCTTAATGTTGGATTTTTGGTATAGAAGGGGATTTGAATATCGTGTTTTTTGTATATAGACAGGAGTTGTCTATGCAGTGGAATTTTCTCACAGAAGTGGGCGTGACTTGGTCAATATGGCTAAGAAACGCACTAATGTTATACCTATTATTGAAGATGCTAGACATCCAGCTAAGTACAGGATGTTGGTTGGTATGGTTGATGTCATATTTTCTGATGTTGCCCAGCCTGATCAGGTGTGGTTTAAATTTCTTTCATGTCACATTGAGAATGGTTTCATTCCTGTATTTATAGCCAATATATATTAATCTTCCATAGCATCAATCAGTTGTGCCATGAAATTATTGTTTCTTTCATTTTGATTCATAGTCTTTTGGCTGTCAAATATTTTCCAGCTTTGTACTTACAATATTTGTGTGCTTTTTTGTTGCTTCTCCACTTATATATTTGTCTATTTTATTAAACTTTATTGTTACTTTCTGCTATTTCTTCTACCCAAGTAATCTAATGTGGTTGAAATTGCTTGTTGTTTTATTGAGGCTATATATAGGATATTATTTAGTGCTATTTTGATGGTATACCTAATTTTTGTATATATTTATGTTGTGTGCCTTTTTTGTATGATAGGATCCTTAATTTTTTTTTTCAATTTAGAGTTCATTTCTGATGTTTTTCATTTAGTTTCTTAACTTCGTATTTTACAATTTCCAATTTGTATAATTTTTTTTGAATGTTTTTCATTTAGTTTCTTAACTTTGTGTTTTACAATTTCCAATTTATATATATTTTTTTGTTGGATTTACAGTCTTTTCAGTATGGGATAGTCTGTGCATATGACGAGTTACTCGGATTCCCCTTCAAGACATCATGAATGATGCAGACCCGAGTTCCCGATGCACATCAATTTCGTTTTCTATTCTTTTTTAAAAATTTATTGTTTTATTATTATTATTATTATTATTTTAAATAGACTACATTCTTTGTTCTGTTTATTGTGTTCAGTTACATGTGGGATAATCTATGTATATGATGAGTTACTCGGATTCCCCTTCAAGACATCATAGACGGATGATGCAGACCCGAGTTTCTGATGCACACCAATTTATTTTCCTTCTATCTCTCTATTGTTTTATAGCTTTGTTGAAATTGAAAACATTGCTAGTCAGTTCTTTATGTGCCTTTCCCCCTATTATGTATCTCTATAATTACTTTTTTTGTACTGATTTTAATGAATGTTATATGGTGTATATATTGATCAAATTCGTGATTGTGACTAGTAATTTAATTTTAATTTGTGGATTCCTGTATTTTATGTTTGTTAGAAATGAATTCTATTGGAGGATAAAAGCTCCCTATAACAGTGAAGTAACTAGTAGTCTGAAATTTCTGTTTATCGCTTGGTTTATGATTTTTTTGCGATCATCGCAGGCAAGAATTTTGGGACTGAATGCTTCTTATTATCTCAAAGCCGGAGGTCATTTTGTTATTTCAATCAAGGTTTGTTTAGACATTTAATCATGCTTTTGTAAGGCCTTATTAGGATGTATGGAAAACCTTTTAATTGTGTTTTTTGGATAGGTATGAAAATTATATTATTTCAATAATTGATTATAGTTTATTATAATCAGCATGAATTATTTTTGGGGTAACTTTGCTAAAATGTTATTTTAAAGATTTTTAATTGTTTAAATACAGGAACAAAAAATAGCTTTAGGAGATGCTTGAAAAGCCGTATACAAATTTCAGTTGTGGTTCCAAACAAAACTGATTTTGCGAAGTTGTTTCTTAAAAAATAGCTGAAATTGGAAGAAGGGGAGGGGGGGGGATAATGTATCCAAAACTTACTCTTAAAATAGGACAATGTTTTTACCTAGTGCGGATATGGGGGAGTAGATGGAAGCAGCCTCCTTACCCTTGTGAATGGAGAGTCTGGTTTCAGTATTTTTAGGTCACAAAACACGATCTTATGGAAGGGTTGCAGCTTGCCCTCTATTTAACTCATTGTTAGGATATATATTTTTATCATTAGCTTAAGCTAAATGATTTGGGAATTCAAGTGAAGTAATGGTAGTAATTATTATCTTGTGTAGATTCGCTAAAATTTTCATTTGTTTGTCAGGCCAATTGCATAGACTCGACAGTCCCTGCTGAGGCAGTGTTTGAAAGTGAAGTGAACAAGTTGAAGGCAGATCAATTCAAACCATTCGAGCAAGTCACCCTTGAACCATTTGAGAGGGACCATGCTTGTGTGGTTGGTGGATACAGAGTGCCCAAGAAGAAAAAAGATGCCGCTTAGTAGTTCATTGCCCTTTCAGTACCAATGTTCATTTTTGGGGGTTTTGGCCACTTCAGATTTCTGATAATGTTGTATTAAAATTTAAAACCGCTTCTCAGACATAGTTCTATTATATGGTAGTATCTGCTACGCAGAAGCTTTTGACCAAGAATCTGTTGGGTTTTGGACAATTAAGATTTCTGATAATGCTGTATTAAAATTTAAAACCGCTTCTCAGACATAGTTCTATTATATGGTAGTATCTGCTACGCAGAAGCTTTTGACCAAGAATCTGTTGGGTTTTGGACAATTAAGATTTCTGATAATGCTGTATTAAAATTTAAAACCGCTTCTCAGACATAGTTCTATTATATGGTAGTATCTGCTACGCAGAAGCTTTTGACCAAGAATCTGTTGGGTTTTGGACAATTAAGATTTCTGATAATGCTGTATTAAAATTTAAAACCGCTTCTCAGACATAGTTCTATTATATGGTAGTATCTGCTACGCAGAAGCTTTTGACCAAGAATCTGTTGGGTTTTGGACAATTAAGATTTCTGATAATGCTGTATTAAAATTTAAAACCGCTTCTCAGACATAGTTCTATTATATGGTAGTATCTGCTACGCAGAAGCTTTTGACCAAGAATCTGTTGGGTTTTGGACAATTAAGATTTCTGATAATGCTGTATTAAAATTTAAAACCGCTTCTCAGACATAGTTCTATTATATGGTAGTATCTGCTACGCAGAAGCTTTTGACCAAGAATCTGTTGCATTGTACTTTTACAGTCAAATGATTGTGCTCAATATATACCGTGCTTAGAATATGGTCATATGATTTGATTTAATTTTGGGTCTGCTCATTAGGGTTAGTTTGTTTAAAATTAAAAAATTGTTTCTGAAAAGTTTTCTTTAACAAAGTAATCTAAGGAACAAGATAGGTATTTCTTAAAAAATAAAACAGAAGAATTGTTTTCGTAAAAAAATCATTTTTTTTTTGTTTTTCTAAGCAGAAAACAAAATATCTTTATACACTTTTAAGCTTAGGAACATGCTTTTTTGGAAAAATTTCTAGGGCTGGAAAATGATGTTTTCAAAGTGGTAGATCCTCGTAAGAGCTGATTCAAATCATTGGTTGTATTAAAATGTTAAATTTACTTGAAGTCTCCTACACTTAATTTTAATTCCAATGGATAATAAATATAAGAAAATTTAAATGTCTTAAAATTTAAGGTGAAATTATTTTTAGTCTTTCAAATTTAAAATTAATCTTTTTAGTTTTATAATTTTAAAATAATCTTATTTTAGTTTTTATACTCAAATTTTATTAGAAAATATGCTGTTTATAGTATAAAATCTATTTATTAATGTATTGTTAGTGAAAATATCATTCATTAAACTCTGTTGATGGTGTGTAATTGTTTGAATATGTCATTTTTAAATATGTTATTGATTATTCATTGTAAATAACAATAAAATTCAACATTAGGAATGTACCACATTTTAATAGAATCCATTAAAAAATCACGTTAATAAAATAAATAAATTGAATAACAGAATGTATCACATTTAATTTAAACAAATGTTAATTGAAATTCAACCAAAATAAAAATAAAAATTAACCTCTGTCTTAAAACATGACAAATATAAATAAATTCTAACTAAATTCCAATGTCACATTCTAGTAGAATATAAAAAAAAATCTGATCCATTAATCGAAGAAAATGAATCGACCACTTCATAAAATCGATTTGGTTACCCAACCCAATTTTATAAAGTGGATTGGGTTTAGTTCAATTTTTAAAAAAATTTAAATCCATATATGTATATAAAGTAGATAATTACATAATCTCAAGCGTGTGGTTCAGCGGTAGGGGTTGATCCACGCTTAAGCAAGGTCAGGGGTTCGAATCCTGTCTTGTGTATGCAGCCGCGTTAAATCTTGGGACCAGTTATCCCACCCTTTGAGGTGCCTCCAACCTAGCGAGGAGATTAGTATTACACCGTACTAAATCAATTCACTTTTATAAAAAATATAAAATAAATCAGTTTAATTCGATTTAAACTTTTAAAAAATCTAATTCTTGGACATCGCTATATTTGTGTGACAAATGAAAACTCCCATGTAACAGAAAAAAAAAAACCTTATTACTTACAATTATCATCTCTCTCATCCGATTATTTTTAATATTTTTTTTATTTAATAACGAGTTACGTAGTACCTCATTTACTCTATTAATAAGTAACAAAATTATCTCAGTATCTTAGAATCTCTTCATGCTTAACAAATTTATCTTCTGAGAGAACCTAGATTTGATTTCAGTATGTTTTTGCAATCTTTCCTAAATAAATAAATAAAAACTTATCATTTTTTTATTATATAAAAAACTGACTTATATAAATCTTTACATATATTTCTGCAACAAATCTTGACTTATTATTTTTCAATATCAGTTATAATTTATTTTCTCCTTTTAAATTTTAAATAATTTATAGTTAGATACAATTAGTTATATATATTAAAGAAATATAATGATATAAGTTTTCTTTTATAAAATTTATTACATGTGTATCTTTTATTGTAAAAGCTTAATAGTTAATACTAGTACATTGCGTAAAAATAATTTTATAATCAAATATAACCTTTTAAGTTATCTATAGAAGTTCAATATTAATATTGGCATCTACTTTCATATTAATATAATTAATTAAAAACAATAATTACACAAGAAACAAATAAATTTAAGATTTTAATTAATAATATTGTACATTAGTTGATTTAAGTAATTTTGAAACAAATATTTCAATGATACAATAGAAATTTGATTGACACACGATATATTTATATTTCTTTTAAGAATATAAGATAGGATCATAGGTTATATATAGATGTACAATATTTAGAGAAAAGCATGAAAAGTTGAACACGTAGGAATAATGAGCAACAGAAACAGATGCAAAAGGGCTAAACTGCCTCTGCCGTGTTTGGCTGAGGAGTTGATAATTCAGATTCTCTTGAGGGTTCCGGCGAAGTCTCTGATGCAATTCAAACGCGTATGCAAATCATGGAAAACCCTAATCTCCGATACCCAATTCGCGAGGGAGCATGTTGCCACCTCGTTAACAGATCCAAACACGGCCTTCCTACGACTCGTCTCTTCCCCAACTGAGTGGGGCCGCAAAATGGTATCATACTCCGTCAACACCAACACCAACACCGTAGACCCTTCAACCATTCTTAAACGCCGTTACTACAAGTGGAACGGTGAGTGGTTCCACAAAATCGTAGGTTCATGCAACGGCTTACTTTGTTTGCTCGACGATGTTGATTGTTTCACACTGTGGAACCCCGTCACCAGAATCACTTCTTCCGTGTTTTCAACCGATGAGGGCTATTGGGTGAATATTCATTTCTATGGCTTCGGTTATGACCATGTCAATCACGTGTACAAGTTGGTGGTGGGTGTGCATGTCAGAAACGTTAACCGCACTGCTCAATATGTGACCAAAGTGTACAACTTTGGTGCCAATTCTTGGACCGTCATTCAGAATATATTCCCGAGTTATCCCAGTAGGGTCACGGGACTAGGAAAGTTTGTGAGTGGCACTCTTAATTGGTTTGTCAACAGTGGTGGTCGATGCATGGTTCTTTCCTTTGATTTGGTGAACCAGACACGTAGTGAAATTATGCTTCCAAGTCCAACAACAACATGTGGTGGCAACGTTTGGTGTCCTACTTTGGGTGTCTTAGGTAACTTTCTTTATCTTTGTTTCTATGACCCCACCGAAGATCATTGGGCTGTGTGGCTCATGAAGGAGTGTTGGAGTAGATGGATGGTCGTCCCTCGAGTTGGGTCCTTGCTGCTTTCCGGAAGGGCACTCGCAGTTTGCCCCTTTCACGTTTCACAAAATGGTGTTGTTTTGTTCGGAAGTGCGTCTCGTGATTTGGTTGTGTATAACTCGAATGATGGAAGCTTCAAGTACCCTAAGATTAAGTGCTACCTTGGATCCGTTGCCTTCACTTATCATGAAAGTTTGGTTTCACCACGATGTTTAAATCACTTTTAGTGAAAATTATATATGTTATTATATATCTCTATTTTTCATCTTTCTAGCCTTGCTAAATTGGAAAGGCAATTCATGTCACTCTCTATATCAAAATTCTTATTTCATATCGAATGTTGTTTCAAAATTTGTTATTAAAATTAATTTTTTTAAATGATAAGAGATATGATCTTAATTTTTATGTTAAATAATATTTGAAAGTTTGTTATCAAAATTGATTTTGAGCATATAATTATAAATCTGAACAGATAAAACTTCAAAATTGATTTTATTTATTGGAGAAATTACTGTTAGTTGCTTCTAAGTGAATGTGAATTTTCATAAATCAATTTTAGTTTCTTCACTCTAGATCGTGCATATGAAACCCTAAATAGTTATTATCTCCAAAAGTCAAATAATGACTTTTGTGTCATATTTACCAGAATCTCAGGATCTCATTAAAGATCAAGTTAATTATCAAGAATAAGGAATATATAAATTAAAATTTTCCTTACAAAAATCATTAAATTTTTAATGGAAGGTACTAAAATTTCTCAATTAAAATTTAAGAGATCAAAATACACTATCTATTCCAATATTTTATATTATAAATATATAATCCTTAAATTTTGCTCACATGTTTTTTAATTGGATAAATAACCTAACGGCCATCGAAGAAGAACAAAGTTAATGATAAATACTGAGGCTGAATCGAGCAAAAATTCTAAACTTCATTATCAGCCTGTTATGGTTGTCGTGACACTATGAAATTGATGTGGAAATTAAAACAGGTATAATAAATAGTTAATAAAATAAAAATAGTCATATTGATCTCTTTCTGTTTTATAATAAGGATTGTCCTAAGTAATTTTACAGTAACTAGGAAAAGCTAATAAATCCTAAATCCTAATAAATAAATAAAAAATGATTTTACAAAAATAATTTTATAATTAATTTTTTTTGTTAGAAATTATGTAGTACAAATTTGGACACCATATAGACAAGAATATGGAGATACGACAAAATAAAAAAAACATAGAACATGTGAACATGATATATAAATAATATATAATACAAATAACATGACAAAAAATTATATATTAACATGACAATAATTTACTAAGTCTCAAAAATAAATTATTAAAATACATCATATTCTACAACAAAAAAAAATATTTTTTTAATCTTGAATTTTTCCTTCATTGTTTCTATTTTTATTAAGATTTTTTCTTCTATATTACGTGAAAGTTAAGTAAGGAAAGAAGATAACAATTCTCTTCCATGTTTTTTTATTAAGATTTTTTCTTTTTATGAAAAATCTCAAATTCACCCTTCTTCATTTCAATTTTTTTTATTTTTTATTTTAAGAAAACCCTTAAATTCTCTCTTTTTTATTTATGTTTTTATTGAGGTTTATTCTTCTTCTTCTTCTTCTTCTCACTACTAGAATTTTTTCTATTACCTAAGGATTTTCCTAGGAATTTTTTATTAAAATTTGTAGGAAATAAGTTTTTTGCGAATTTTTCTACAAATTTATTTTCGCAGCTAATACTTTCGTGGATAATTGTTTCTTGCCAATTTCAAAATTCGTAAATTTTTTTTTTATGATTTTTGCTATAAAAAAAATCTATAGAATACTTTCTTGCAAAAAAAAATGGCAGCAAACTTTCTTGTGGAAAAAGAATTCTTAGAAAATTTGCAAAAAATATTCTACAAATTTTAAAATCCACAAAATTTTTGCAATAAATTTTCCACGAAATTTAAAATTTGTAAGTAAATTTCTTGAAAAATTAAAATTTCCCACATAAATTTTCTACAAAATTAAAATTTTGTAGGTCAATTTTCTGCAAAATTTCAAATTTGCAAGTAAATTTCCTAGGAAAAATTGCAGGTAATTTTTTTATAATTTTTTTAATATTATGATGCCCTGCAAGTTCACAATTCTTATAACTTTCACGTTTTGGGCTGTGAGCATGTTACCAACCCTGGGCCACCAAAGGAAAAAATAGCCACTCGTGGCAACAAGTGCTGATATGGGTAATTTGTACACTTCAATTAACCTTTTCACTTCTTCCATAATAGAATTAAGTTCATACTTACCACCATAGATATCAAGTTCCTTTAGGCCTTAATTTCAAGCATACTGCATAGTTCATTCAAGACAAGAATTTGTTTTGATAATCATACTCAAAGCCCTTAACTCACTCATTCAAGTACATAAATAATTTTTCAAGGTTTAGTGAAAACATTGATTAACCACCAAGGCCCATTATAACAAAAAGAAAGCACATATATAAACTACTGAAGCATATATAAACTCAATACCCATATCATAGAATGTAAAACATTGATGATGTACTTGATAATGTGTGTCATCACATTATTAACCAAAACCAAGCAAAGAAACTAAACAATGACAAGAACCTTCTCAAATTTGGATGACCAAAACTTTCCTGAACTCTTTAAGTTTAAACCTATTATCATCATAATCAAAACTAAGCAAAAAAAATTGAGCAATGACAATAACCTTCTCAAAGCAAGATGGCTGAAACTCTTTCAGTCTAATTCCAGTCCATGTTAGTTCCTGATTTATAAACATAAAAGGTCACGATCTCATTTAGCATCATTATAACAATTTCATCATAAAAAACCACTAAATTAAATAACACTCACAGTTGGAAAAAAAATAAATACTAAAGATTTAATCTATTGCATGCAAGACACAAATCAAATATGTTAAGACAAGAAACTAAATAGAATATGAGGTAATACACCTTTTTCAAATATGACCCTCCTCATCACTATCTTCATCATCATCATCATTGTCAACATTTCCATAGCTACATTCCAGTGATGGAGGTGGATGAGAAGAAGAGCCAACAAATCCTAAATGTGTCATTAAAGCTACTAAATGTCTCTTTGTCTCATTCAACTCTTGTCTTATTTCTAGCTTATCCTTTTCTTGTCTTTGCAACTCTTGCATCATTGCTAGCTTCTCTTCCTCTTGTTTTTGCAATGATTCATTTAATTCCTGAATTTGACCCCTTAAAGTACACACATCCTCATATTTAGTAGAAAATCTTGATGGAGTCAACATTTTGCCTAAAGATCCAAGACCAGGGATCCTTCCATTTTTCTTTCCAGCTAAATCTACCCATATATCCAAGTCAGAAGGCATAGGATGATTTATAGATGATTGGCTATCAACTCCATCCTCCCTTTGAGATGATAACTCAAATTTCCTTTGTTGAAATTTGTCCTGCCAATGAAATTTGTATAATAAAATTAACTTGAACTAACAAAAAGTCTCCACTTCTCCTTTTTTAAAAGGAAGACATAAAATAACTATTGTGTCTTAAATTTTTAAAATATCACTATATCATAAACCTGGTCATGTAGAAAATTTCCAGATTTTGAAGGAGGCTACTCCATACCCAATATTCTAAAAAATCATCAACAAAAAACTTACAAATGTTAATTTTGCATGATGACCCACCCAACTTTTATCCTTTTTCCGATGTGTACGAAAATAAAACTCACTTAATGATGGATCCATTCCTTTTTCCTGTTTCTGCATTGATAAAAAAAAGATTTAGTGACATTAATTTCAAGAACTAAATTATAAAAAACAACAATAAATTAATAATACCATTCTTTTCCAATGCAAACGGTGAGGAATTGATCCATCGGTATGAAGAGATGCACCATTCACAGATTCACGATTTCTTTTATTTATTTCTGACTTTTTCTTAAAACTTAAGGATCTCCAATGTTCCTTCAAGTGTGCCCATACATCTTCTCCTATCCAAATTGGTTTTCTCTCTAAATCCTTTCGAACTTCTTGCATTAATTGAGACATTTTAGCTGCACCTCTTTTCTCAAAATTACGTCGCACCATGTCATTATATTCAGGTGGCCATGTAAATTTTGACTACATTGGTTTTGATAAAAATGAAAAAAAATTATTAGGCAAATATTCAAAATGGAATCTTTTTAATAAAAGTTTAAAGTTTGATTACTTGAAGCATATCAAACCACGAATCCCTTTGACCGATAGATAACTTCTTCCATGATGGTTTTGCCTCCCCCAAGTTACTTCGTATGATTGAAGCAAGTGCCCTAATTACCAACTTGTGTTGATCAAACCTATGTAAAATAATAAAAAATGATAATTAATTAAAATATCAAACAAAAATTCATATCATATGCCAAAAAATTAAAATGACTCACCCATCCCCTTCTGGGAGTATCAAGATTTTGTTCCCATTATTGTCTCCACTAACATGACTAGATGAAGAAGATGGAGTTTCATTAACTGTTGGATATTCGAGCATATGAATGACTTGCCCCGAGATACGTTGAGATTGGGTGGGTTGAGGTGGAGGTGGAGGGGGAGGAGGTGGAGCTTGAAATTGATGTGGAGGTAGAGGTTGAGAATAAGTGGGTTGAGATTGATTAGCGTAAGCTTGTAGACTAGATGATGGTATAATCAATGGTATATTAGCTTGTATAGATTTTTTTCCTTTAAAATTTTTGGTTGAATGCATAAATCTCTTAGAGTCTGACATCTATTTATTAAGTATTATAACAAGAAAAGTTAGTACACATATAAACTAATTCAAACAAGCACTAAAGTGAAAATTTCAAACAAATTAACATCATCCCTATAAGTAATTGTCAATAGTATGCAATATAATGCTAGAATAACATCATCTAAATTCACAATGTGATACTAGAATAACATCATAAAACCAAACCAATTAAAACAAAAACTATCATTTGCTTTTAATCTTCATCTTCATGATTAATAAAATCTTCTTCTTCTTCTTCTTCTTCTTCTTCTTCTTCTTCTTCTTCTTCTTCTTCTTCTTCTTCTTCTTCTTCTTCTTCTTCTTCTTCTTCTTCTTCTTCTTCTTCTTCTTCTTCTTCTTCTTCTTCTTCTTCTTCTTCTTCTTCTTCTTCTTCTTCTTCTTCTTCTTCTTCTTCTTCTTCTTCTTCTTCTTCTTCTTCTTCTTCTTCTTCTTCT